ATAACAACTGAAAATAAAAATTGGAGCCAGTAATCATCTCGTCGTTAGTCCTGGATTAGACAAAGTGTGATATAAAAAATTTTAATATTTGCTTATTAAAAATGGCTGTTGTGTAGATATCTGTATGTAAAATGCATCTGGAAATTAACATAAATATACATAAATTTAATCATATTGAAATAAACAAAACCTGAAACATAATGTCATATATGCAATACGTATTTTGTATGACATTTCATTGTGATCAACAATTTTCTCAGCACTTCCCTGTATTATAAATATTATTTTTTTCTTTTATATATGTATATCAAGAAATACTGTGGATTTAGTTTTTCAGGTTTTGGCTCAGAGCAAATTTTGATTATATTTTTATATATTTCCCTTATAAACAATTTTTTATATTCTCTTTTATAAATTCTCTTTTATATAGAAAAAAAAACATATAAATTTATATTATCATCAAATTATACTAAAAATCAATATTTTTAGTCAATAATCAATTTGCATGTCGCATTCTTTAATTAGATATATATTGATCATCATTGTCTTTTACTCGACCAGTTCGATAAAATGATGTTTTACCTTCTTAAAATTATCTCTATGTGCGCTATAAAATAAACTTTATGCTGCTTCCAATATTAATTTCCGGTAAGAGAAACGGTGACTTTAAAATTAATTTGTTCTCAAGCGATAAGTCACTAGAATTCAATCTGTCCTATGAAAGATGATAGTTTCAGTCTCTTCTGAATTGCGTCGAGAAATTTATAATATGATTGAGTATCTGAAGCGTACAGGTAAACACCATAACATGAAAATCGATATTTGCATGCATAACGAGTTTATTAACAGCAATGGTGAACTTCTGATTTCCTAATGACTAAGTTTCAAAATTTATGATCAAAGAAACAATATAATAATTTTAAGTACTTTTCATATTTTTTCTTTAAAAAAGATAATAAAATATATAGTATAAAAAACTTGAAGTAACAGGACTCTTAAGAACTCTGTTTAAAATCCTAGATGTAAAAGGCTAATAAGAGTCAGAAAAAACTTAATAAAACTCCATTATTCATTTAATATAATAGGTATAATTAAAGATAGAAATAATAAATCAAACTGTAAAAAATACAAAAGTTAAAACGCTAGAATTACATGTTTCGGTCTTATATTTAGGCCCTCTTCAAATGTATAATATAAAAAATTTTTTTTCCCGGCGCAATATAATACATTATTCAAAAATTAAGAAAACGACTGTTTCGTTGCATAATTAGATGTGTTAAAATAGAGAAAACGGAAAATTACTCGTCAAACGATTGCGAAAATTTCTCGTTGTTCTAGAGAGAATATAAAGAAACCTAAAAATATTATAAGTTATCAAATCTAAAATTTTTTATTTAAAGCATAATTCGTCTCTTTGGTAAAAATTCACCTCATAGTCCGACAATTGAGAAAAACATTAGTATTATAAAAAAAATCGTCAAATTTCGATGTCAAAAGCGGTAAAAAAGTTTAATATCACAATTATATTTATAAGTGTGTAACGTCCAATGTATAAAATAAAATAAAAAGTAACGAGAAATGTTCTCGATGGATTCCACTGTATTGCAATAAATCTTGGCAATGCAAAATCAAATATTGTTTATTATCGGAATGTATGATTTATGAAGACTCTTTTGTGTCCGTCTGTAGGTTAAGACTGTTACTCTGTTTTTTAATGTTAAGCATCTCTGAGACAAGGCACTTATTGTAAATCGGTGTTCTTCATCTAAGATTTAAATATTATTCCAATCGAAATCATGACCCAATTGCGATCGATGATCTGTTATTACCGATTTAAAGCTGGTGTTCCAACGTATATGATTTCGATATTCTAAAATCCGAGCTTCCTTCCCGTTTGTCCCACGTAAGATGAGTTACAGTTATTGCAGTTTATCTTATAAATAATATTAGACTTCGAGAAAGAGTCCAAAGAATCTTTATGTATAAAATATATAGTTATCAATTAGTATTATTTTGTATCAACAGAATTAAATATAAAAAATTTCTCTCTCTCTCTCTCTCTCTCTCTCCCTCCCCCCCTCTCTCTCTCTATGTTATTTGAAAATAATTCAAGAATAGAACAGATTTTTATTAAATAATTTTGTAATTTTATTTTACAACAAAATGTGCACAATCTTGATTATAAATAATTCTCCCAAATAACAGATCATTCCAGCAATATTGCAGCAATGTTGTAATGTTCCATTTGTGTCCTATTTAAGACATTTCTATTTATATATATTTATATGTTATATTTATTTATGTATATATTTATTTTATATTTATTATGTAATATATGTATAATTTTATATCTGATTCTTTTATATCGTATGTACATGAGATTTGAAAAACAATAATGAAAAGCATAAACTCTTTACTGAAATATTGATTTCTCCTTGTTTATTATTTTAACTGTAAGAATTCTAAAATTATGCATACTAAAATGACTGATTAAATGCGGAACTGCGCTTTGTTATTTTCTACTAAACATTCAGAATTTCAAACTATGTACGTAGCATTTAAACAGTCGGCATTAACGTGAAAGAAAATGCAAATATTTGTTTGTTTAAATTAAATTGCAAGAAACGAGTATTTTTGTCATATTACAGAACGTCTCTATGAAACGACTTTCATTCCTCGATGCTTCTGATAATAGAAAATCAAACAATAGGACGGTGCATACAAATATATTTACTATAATAGGCTTTAATTTAACCTAGATACAAATGGCACTATTAGTAGAGTGTATTGAAGTTAGAATGCAGAATCAAGAATACAAACATATTTTTATTCATAATTATACTTCTGTAAAGTTATAAATTATATATAAAAATTATATTATATTATATATAAATTAAAAGAATTAAATTATATATAAAATTAAAAGAATATTCCACAAAATTATTTTAACAAAATACAATAATGAAATCAACACCAAGATACAGATATAAATATTTTTAGACAAGATATAAATATTTTTTACGGGAAATATACTTTTTATGATAAATATCTTTCATCACGCATATTTCTACACACACGAAGAAAAATTCTAAATATCTCTCACAATAAATTTATCTTTCGATAAATATTTTTCGAAATATACTTTATGGATATGTTCCTTTCGTATGAATTATAATGATGCCTCTAATTTGTAAGATGATATATCGAGATACGTAGCAATCTTTTCCGCCTCTTTATACACCCACTGATAGCAATATCAATGGCAAAAAGCAGATTCCACACAATTCATAATATGTCGATAACACACACCAAGTCGTGATTATAAACAACGAGCAGCAGAAAGCAATGCACGCACGTTGATCCGTAAAGATGAATGGCGATGAAGATGGCGATTGATTATGTAAGGTGCGAGAGTATTTATACGGCGGTCCAAAATAGTCTACAAACCACATTCGGAGGTGGCACGGTTCTCTAATAGCATATGGTTGTCGACACACTTTTTATTGGCAGCAAAGATATCGAACCACAATAAAAAAAAACTCATTTGCTAAATTAAAATTATTGATGTGGTATTTAAATATCTATCCACTCCATTTAGAAATTAGCGACTATTTATTATTTGTATTACAGCACATATTCCATGTCACATTTACTAATGTAATAAATTAATTGCTCAGCCCCGAGGTGGATCCTGTTTATTTTTATTGTAAACCGATTTGTGAATGTTCTTTTTTACTTTTCCATTAATGTAATACGACTTTAAAGCATAGCCGAGTGTAAACTATTTTCAGATTTGTTGATGTTTCGAATTACATGCCTGTCTTGATGCTTTAGCCGTGTGAACAGCGTATATGGTCGATCGCAGAGAACCCAATATTTCAATGTTTACTTATTAAGATTTATGACAACACATGTGGTAAGATACTGATATATACGAGTGCTATATTCCGAATTCCGAGGCTTCATAACTCCAACAGTGAATCCAAGAAAAAATCATAAAAAATAATGTTTGCACATATTTTTATATTTTCTAATAATGTTATGCATACAAATCATATAAAATCATGCAAAATTTTGTAATTACTTAATAATTAAATTGCATTTTCGTAACATTATTTCACACGTTAAATTTTTCAAAATTATGAAAATGCATATAAATACAATTATATATTATTCAATTATCCAATAGACTAACTTACTATGTACATACATATAATGATGTAAATGCGAACTGTCACAATAACTCGAGCAACGTACATTAAACACTTGTGCACATGCATTAATCCACTTAACGTATCAGATAAGTGGGAGACATTCATATATACACGACATATATGCAAACACTAAGTGATTAAAAGCTTTAAAGTAGCGAAAATATTACATAATATAAAATTAGTTTTACTAAAGTTTTATTGAATTTTAAATTTTGACATATATATATAAGTATTGTTTTAATATTTATCAGAAAAATATTTTTTAATAAAGTGAAAATTTGATTGTTTTTTTCTCGAGGGTTAGCTTTTAATAAAAATTAATTAATCTGTCTAGTTTCTTTATACTTGCTTACAAATAATTATAATTATAATTATCTTGGATTAATCTCAATATTAACAAAATTTTTTTTAACAAAATGCATTTATATTATAATGTTAATATAAGTATTATAAATGTTTTAAAGAAAAATCAATATACAATTCATTTAACATATAATTTTTTTAATATAAAAGTATTACGTAATATAAAAGAAATGAAGAAAGCTTTAATCAACGTGTGTAACGAATTAAAATTCTTTACAATAAAGTTATTATTATGCTACAATATTACAATATATAGTTTAATATTAAATAAGATAAAATTTCTTTATAAAAGAAAAGCTTCTATAGAAGACAGCATGAAAAGAAAACAATCTATGTCGCTAATAGCATATACGAATTAGTTGCATGCATATAAAACATCAAAACGCAATTTTGAGACAGAAGTTCTCCAGGAAGGAAACTTACCGGGATTTGATTAAGATTGATGTCAGATTTCTCCCTGTTGGGACAATTTGCAGTGTAACCGGGCTCCTGATTGAATCGCCTGCCAAACTTCAGAAGATTTCTCATAATCATGGTATTCATCACGATGATGAGTACAAGTGGCACGATCAGACTCGCTATACTGTCGATAATGCTAATGATGTGCATAGTTTCTAGGTACTCAATCTTCAATTCGCACACCTCGTCTCCGCCCTGATTTTTTACTACCCCAGCAGTAATGAAGGAGTACGAGTGACTGACTAAAGCGAGGATCGTTAATATCAGAATGATGGTCTTTGCACGCGCTACGGTGCACATATGCGGTCGATGCAGTGGATACTGTACGGCGATAAATCGCTCGACGGTGAAAGCGACGATTAGCCAAACACTAAGTGAACTGCAAACTGCGCTTACATACACCAAAGTTTCGCACCAGCCATTATTGTTAAAGACTTTCCATCCGATCGTGCTATTAAGCCAGACGAGAAGCAGGGACATGAGAAAGCTAAAATCGGCGGTTGCTAATGCCGCCAAGTAGTAACTGGAGCTACGTAGCTTTAAATGCGTCTTAAGGAAAACCACGCATGACAACAGGTTGCCTACCAAGCCCAATAAGATAATGGATGGTATGTAGTACAGATGACAGAAATCCAGAAGAAAGTAGAGCGAGGGGCAAAAGCTATTCGATTCCTCTTCTATGTCGAAAATCGTGTCAAGACTGTGATTTTGGTAATCGTAGAATGTTAGGTTCGACCAGTCCGTCGGCGATGCTGATCTTCGGAATCGCGATAGGCCGCCGATCGTCCCCGGTATTTGTTGACATCTCAAATCTTTACTCCATAATTTTTGAAACACGAACATGATTGCTCTCGATTGTGAGATAATATTGACCGAAAAAAAGCTTCCTTCGATGCTCGTCGTTTCAAGAAATCAGCTTAGTCGGTCGCAATGTGCAAAATACATCAGTTTAAAAAACACATTGCAATATTATTCGCCATTCTCCAGACTCATTGATATGACGTCGTTATTAATATAGACCAGATCAGTGTAAATCACAGAGTATGGAATCGAATGCCATAGGCAAAGTGATTATCCATCGAGAATTCCCAGTTCTTTCTCGGAACGCATAATTCACATGTCAATTTGATAAAATTTGTTGGATAAGGTCGCATATATTGCACGTTTGACGAAGGCCTGTCAAAGTCATAGATATGGTTGACATAAACCACAATAATGTTCCACGCAGAATTGTTAAATATTCGAATCATGCGTAATAAGCATTATAACATGTTAGTCGACAAAGATTCTCTGTTCTTTCTAATTCACAAGTGTCCATTGTGACGCTGCGTAAAAATTATTTAGTGATGAATAACAAAAAAAACAGTTTTTCTAAATTTGTAAGCAATTAATATAAATAATAGCCTGTAATATTATTGACAGATTTAGATTGAAAATTAGATGTTTGATTCGTATCAAAATCTGCACATCTTTATCTAATTGGCTTTAAAAAATATCCACAATATTAGACTAAAAGGTTATTTGATCTGACACGCTGATTGCAACGCGGACGCATTCCACTTTGGACAAACGTGCGGCTGGTTGGAGGTTTTCCAACGTCGCTGACATGGACCATCGGTATTGAGCGCAGGATTGCGTTCGGACATTTGTTTTCGTTCAGCGAATATTTTTTCTGTCTAAACGTCCATTTGGGTGACATAATGAATCGTTTACACTTTAAGTTTGATTACATTCGATTCAATTACGTTTGCAACTGCATGCATTTCAACAATGCAATTTCGCGTGCGTGCATTCCGTTCGCAATTAGATTCAATTTCATTTAACCGCAAATTTACTGGCTATTTTTCGGATTCCACGACAGGTAATTTGTGTTCATCATTTGGCTTCACCAAAGCGTGCGCTAATTCAATTTTGAGGAAATCGCGAAGTCATTATATTCACGCCAGTTAAGCTCAATACAACATAATATGTTAAGTTATTGAGTTGTATCTTAATAGATAGTGCTCTGACAATACAGTTTTAACATAAATTCGATATCTATGATAATTCCACATTAAACCATATAACATGTAAGTTAATTGAATTGACTTGCAATTTGCAAGTAGAGTATCAAAAGCAATTATCGAAATGGATTTAAATACAAGTGGATGACAATAATTCACGCGCAAAATTTCATATAATACAGTTCATCTTTCATACAAAATCTTTATGTCCTTTATAATCCGCATAACGTACCATATTAATAAGAACAAAAACGCCTCGTCGGTCGCAATTCAATACATTTCCTCGCATTTTCATTAACGTGGTGTAAAAGGAAAACGTAATGCATTAACAGTAATAGCATTCTATAATTGATTTCTTAATTAAATTAACTATTACTTTTTGTTTATTTCGCATGCGACTTATTATAAATCGATATGTTTAACACATTAAAAGCTGTTCTCGCAGCTTGTAACATTACTTGATCGCGGGATAAACGTGGAAATGTGGTAGAGTTGATAAACAGTGTTTCCGCAAGAATGCAATTTCATTGTAGTTTACTTCGTTATTCGTTAAGTCTTAGATAGATTTTGAATCTCTAGTACATAGTTTGACTCAACAATTATAATTTAAAAGGGTTCAATATTTCTCGAAATGTCATATATTAAAAAGATACAGTGATTGATTTATACTCATACATATTTTAAATTATATTTAAACTTTAATATCTATTAAAATAATTTTCATATAAACATTTTTTATCTGTTGAATTTTTCAGATTATTGAATTTTTCGCGTCATTAAGCTATTATCAAATTGTTAAATTAATATTTATAACTTAAGTTAATTAATAAGATAGAAAATATATGTAATTTTAAACAAGACAGATATAAAATTACCAGCGGCACTTTTAAATCGTGTGTCACAAAGAAACCATTTACGTCATCCGATTTTTTACAAGCATTTGACTTACCGTTTAATTAAATTGTATTATTAATTCAAACGTATGTATCATTCAACATACGAAGTATATCGTTCTTTAAATAGAAAATATGTAATTTTAAGCAAAGAAGATATAAAATTACCAGCGGCACTTTTAAGTCATGTGTCACAGAGAATAAGATCATTTCTAGTATTTAATTTTCTCCACACACTTTTATCATTTTAATTTTGCCTTCTCTCATTTTCTCGTTCGTCATCACACGTAGAAAATTCACAGACGAAGATTAAAGATATATCTTCCAGTTGTAGCACGTTGCACAGCATTATCGCAGATACATACAAGAATTTTCACCGTCACTTTATCTGACGATATTTTTTCATGATTTGATTAAAATTCCACAAAAGATCGTCTCGTTCCTTTCTATCGATCCTTAATCCCTTTAATAGCTGAAAACCCGATTTCTTTTTCTTGATACTGAAATTGTACGATTAAAATCTTGTCAAAAGATTTCCGATATTCAAATTTTTTTGTAGCTTTAATCGTAACTAGAAAATGTAATAAATCCGTAATTTCCGTTCAAATTGAAAAGAAGTTGCAAAAAATGCTTGAAAATATACGTTTCATTTATCACTGAGAATTTACTGTCGGTTTTATCGATGCGATAATCAAACTGTCGAGTTTATTCAAAGCCTTGATTTAAAAAAACTAAATTTTTAAAAAATTCGATAAAAGCAGCATTCTAAAATTTGCACTTTTTGTATTTAAATTTAACTTACACAAATGGAACGTCCAGAAATCTTTTGATTATTTCCTCGCGAAATTAAACCCCTTTGATTCCCTAACGAGGAATTAACGCTCCAGTAAAAAATGGTATAAGTTTTAAAATGCGATCCACCAAACACCACGCGTGCGAAAAATTTATTTCGCAATTTTTACACTTAATTAAAACTGTCAAAACGTAGGAAAATGTACGCGTCGTGCGTTGAGAAACGTCGACGGGTAAACTGGGGGAGCGGACCACTCTACGAACGCATCTGTGCCAGCCAAAAAGTTTCGCCGCATGCGCTTTATAGAGATCCTGCCGGCGTCTCGACGGACGCCGCTGACATCGACGTCGCCAGCGTCGTTGGGTTTCGCACTATTACACGTCTCACGATTTTCAGAAAATAATAACGAGAGAAAAGGACTCGTACTATATACGTATTTAATTTTAGATAAAATCGGAAACCATCGTGGCACTGTGATTTAAAGAATCTTCAATATCTTCGCATAAGCAAAAATATATAATTAAATATTCGAGGAGCAAAATATTTTAATATTGACGTATGAAAAAAATACTGTTATAAGTTCTACGTGAAAAGCATCTCATTTGAATTTCGATTAGAGATAAATTGAGTTTTTTTTGAGTCGTAAAAGATTCCTCGTTATCATCTATGCGAAATTTTCTGGAGTCTCTATTGCACGCCTATATTAAGAGAAATATTAAAAATGATCTATTTGAATAAATTTTTTGTTTAATGAGGGCAGGTTTCATCAAACAGGTTTACTAAAAGCTTCAATAGGTTTTTATATTATAAATCGACGATATTGCACAGAATTTTTGGAATATAAGTATATTTTAATAAATGATACACCAATTTTAATTTAACAGAATTTTGTTTCGCAATTTCGTTCGATTTAAAGCTTAAATATTTAATATTAAAATTTTTTAATGCAAAAAATACTGGTTCTTTATGATATGATTTTTCAAAATCAGATATTGGATACATAGAAACTAAAATTAATCATTATATTTTTTATGGAACTACACGAAAAGATCTAACAGTTTTGCTGAAGTATTTAAATTTTAGCTAAATATAGATAGAAAAATACTTTTGTGAGACTATTAAAATAATTATGTAGCGTATTCAAGCATGAATAATTTTACAAAAAGTTTTGACATTTTAACGATTAGCTTGAGCATTCTACACAATTATTTTGATGTCGAACAAAATTATTTTCTGCAGATCTATCTTATTTAACTAATTTTTTAAATATTTTAACAAAACCGTTCTTTTCATGTGACAAATCTCTTACTATAACAGATTTATCTTCTACGTTTCCAATAATTTCTATATGAACGCATGATATCTATCAAATGTTGAATATGTTTAATTATGCATGAGTTATTGATTACCATTATTACATTAGCAAACATTAGTAAATGCTCAGCTTTTTCACAAACTTGATAATCGATAATGCGAACTGTATTAAATCCATTTTGCTGAGAACATTAGTTTAACTTTCTGTAATAAATAAAAGATCTTCGATGATTACCAGATATTCTTTTAGAAAGAAAAAGAACACATAAATATATCATTTCGATTTTATCGATTAATCCTAAGCCGAAAATAAAATATATACATAAAAATATATATTTTATAGTAATTTTATTTCCGATATATAACAAACATAATAACTCCGATTTTTGAATCTATGAAGAATGGCAATATCTTATATATAAATTCTATTGGATACAATTTTTTTATTAAATTTTATAGAAATTTTAAGAATCAAATATTATATTGTATTATTGAGAATAATATAAAATTATATTATTTATTTTAATATTGCTTGACTCTAAAAAATAACATCTGAATTAATATATTTATTTAACGTATGTATATTTTTATTTAAACAATCTTAATCATCTATGCAATCACAACCCTTAGTACGTTAGTTTTCGATGGCTTCGTTAGTAATGTAATTTTAGTGCTACGCTGTTGAGCAATAACAGTTTGCTAGCTTCTGCACCCGCTACAAACTACATTTGTTTAATAAGTTATATTACATATTATATAATGAAAATTTTAATAGTTGTTAAATTAATATTTGTATAAAAAAGTAAATATCATTTTATATCACCTATTATTATTACAAAAGTTATCTTAAATTAAGATTTGCTATGGTAAAATATTTATGCAATCTGTATTTGATTAGTTTTGAGAAATAGGATAATATAATATTATTTGACTTACTGAACAATAGGACTAACAGCGCAATGTGGAAACGGATATAACTCGAAAACAAACTTTGCACACAACCCAAACCAAACCAAATTTCGAATATGGCATGACAAACTATTTTGCAGTTTACTGTGCACTGAGCATTTCTATTTCTGAATAGCATTCTACGTACAGCATTGATGCGCATAGACATTTATTGCGATAAATGCTGTTTACAGCTCTAGTTTGATATACTACTGACTGATATTAACAAAGAACATGTTGATAAAGCCTTTTTGGATTCATTAAATAAAATATAAATTTTTTTATTTTGTTCTTTTATATATAAAATAAAAATATGGATTTTAATAGAAATAGTAATTAAATAATCTGAATTTTTTCAGTGTTACAAAGTTCTAAAGCACACATGTACAAGTTTGAAAGGTCAATTGCAACCAAATGGCAAGCCGTTTACAACAGTTATTACGTATGCATTGAATCCGAAGGCTATAACAATGAGACAACTGTATGGCGAGTACGATCTCGATACACATGAATGGTAAATAACATATCGCTCGATATTATATTAAAGAATAAAATTTCGAAATTACAGAACTTTAATTTAAAATTATTGTTAGATACATGTTCTGCATTATGTGTGTTTTTTTAAATTATAAATGCAAGCTTTTAAACTTGAACAATTTTTAAGATATATAACAACAGATTTAAAACATTTTTCATTTAAAACAAAATTTATTTTATTAAAACATTACAATTACAAGTTTCACATTGATAAGAAAGCGATCAATTTTATATAAAGTTTCTTTCTAAATATTCTTTTTATTTTTTATCTAACTATTATTTAATTTCTTTGAAAAAAGTTTCATTTAAATAAAACTTTTTCCATTATGTTTATATATAACAAAGGAGAATAATAAAAAGGAAAGAGGAGAAAAAAAAGGGATATTATCGAGATTATAGCCTTATAGGTCGTCAATCGATAATCGTCAGTAAAAGTTTCGTTTATAATCCAAAAAATTATTTCATTGAAACTTTTCCGTAAAGTTCGCGAGATCATAGAGTTTACAGGATATAATTAGATCTATTTTTTAATTTTTTTATTGTAAATAATTTTTTTTAATGTGCTAAATTTAATAAAATATTTGCTAAAATATACATTTATATATATATTATATATTTATATATTTATATGTATTATAATTTTCTTGGATTATTATACAATTGAATTATCATATAATCTATATACATATTTATATAATGACCCATTTAGTTACTAATAGGGCGTATGCAATTCTATATAATACCGATAAAACCAGAAAATCTTTAAAATAGACACGAAATTTAGGATATTGAATGCACACGTCCGATTTGTAGGACAGATGGAATATTACCAACTTTAATACGAACGGATATAGCAACGGCAGATTGCGATAAACGATGGTATATTTTTGACGGACCAGTCGATGCAGTATGGATCGAGAATTTGAATACTGTCCTGGACGATAATAAAAAGCTTTGTCTCACATCGGGGGAAATAATGAAATTATTACCAACTCAAACCTTAATGTTTGAAGTATCAGATCTTCGAGTAGCCTCACCGGCTACAGTTTCAAGGTAATGAAAAAAATGTTATAAACTTTAAATAGCTTCTTAACAGTTGAACAGAAAAATGAATAATATTAATATACATATTAAATTGCAAATCCAATCTTCCCCTTTTTAACTTTTTTATACCGTTAATTGTTAAAATGTATATTATTGAAAATGGCACAAAATTTTGTCTATTTTTAAAATATTCAGAATATGATTTTTTTTCTATTAAATTTTTTTTTTCTATTTAATTTGCTTTAATTCAAATTGACAGTAAATAAAACTTATAATTATTAATAGACACGAGAAGAATTATACGAAACTTTTGCTTGTTTTTATGTGATTTGAGTATATCTTAATCGTGATTACTAATGAGTACTAAAGAAATTATCTGACAGAGAAAATTTAACAAAACACAATAGCCATTAATTATAAAATTATAAATTATTAATAAAATATATAATTAATATACATATATATAATATATATAATATATATAAATGAATAATTAATTACAAAAATATAAATTAAAATATATACAGATAGTAATGTGCGTAATCGTAGGGATATTAAATAACACAAACATGAAACATTAATATTTTTTAATTTACAGTAAGTAATTATATAAATTAAAATAATATATAATGCACATAATGGTAAACTTGCTCAGGGATAATAAAACATGTTACTTATTTTAATTAAAATAATTACCGTCTAACATATTGATTACGATGTATATATACATTATTATGTATAGATGTGGTATGGTATATATGGAACCAGAAAATGTAGGCTTGCAACCTTTGATCGATTGCTGGATACGATCATTACCAATGGTAAATCAACGTTTTCTACAAAATTATTTTTTATGTATTATTTTTTAAATATATAGCAATAATATATGTAATAAAAAGTATATAATAGAAAATAAAGGAAAGAGTATTAGCTCTTATTTTAACAAATCATATTATTTAATTAAAATTTTAATTATGTATTTGTTTTTAAATATATCTTTTCTTCTATAAAAATTTATATTAATGATGGACTCTGAATTGCTAAAATAAATTGTATAAATTAAACTCTGTAGTGTAATTTTAAATTAATTTTTAATAATATTTTATAATTTTAATATTTTCCAGTTTTCAAGTCAAATATCTTCAATTAGCAATAAATAAATAGAATTTTGTATATTTTGAGTATAATGTAATTATAATTCGTATTATTTTAAGATTAATTATAAAATCCAGTTACGTAAAACTAAGCTGGAAAAGTTGTTTCTGTAGGCGATGAACGATTACATCGAAGAAATAACTGAGTTAACAACTCAATTGGTGCTTCCCGGTCTGAAAATTGTACGCGAGAGTTTACGAGAGATCGTAAGAACTGTAGATTCCGCTGTTGTTCAATCTTATATAAATCTAATGAACTTCAGAATTAGACCGATAGTCGAACGTGAAGAAAAAGCACCACCGAGTTTAGCTCTCCAAAATACTATACGTAAGCAATATGTGATTGTAACTGTATATTGTATATGAGTAACGTTAAAGATTAAGTTTACCACAAATAACAAGTTTAGAGTAGTGCTTTAAGCCGCTTTAGTGCTTTAGAACGTGCAATTACCGCATGTCCATAGCAAAGTCTAGTTAAGTTCAATAAATCTGACTACCTACTATTGTAAGTACTATCAGCTTCTATTCATTAACACCTTGTAATATATGTACATAAAAATCTGAAAGATCGAATCTGTGTGAAGATTTCGCTTTAGAAAACTTTTAAATTAATACTAAAAACAATATGACTAATATATTAATCATGTCTCAAATTATTGCCATTAGAGAATGAGGATAATTAACAAATTTTTAACATTTTTAATGTTAAGTTTAGTATTATATTTATTGTACAAAATTACTAAAAACAATATTACAAAGTTTATATTACACAGCGGATTTGCTGTCACCATGGGCAGCTTTCGCCACTGTTTGGGGATTAGGAGCAACTTGCGATTACAAAAGCCGCTGTATATTTAATGATTGGTTAAGAAGAGTACAAAAGGATGCCCAGCATAAAATACCATTTCCAGAAGAAGGCCTCGTATTTGATTACAGGTGTAAATTTAGAATGAAATAAGGAATATATAAGTAAATTAAAAACACAAAATTTATTTTTATATTTTTATAAAAATTATTTATGTAGAATTTAGTTTATATACAAGAACATGTTAAATCACAGATAAATTTCCTACAAGAAAGAGAAAGATAAAGAAAAAAAAATCTAAAAAACAGAAAATAATAATTAAAACGTTGATCTTTATAGAAAAATTAAACATTTGTTGCTAATCGATATTCGCAGATTCTTTTTCTTCAACTACATTGTAAAAAATTATTTATAATAAGTATTTTTTACAGTCTTACATAATTTTAATTTACATGATTTTTTTCGTCAGATTTTGACTTTCAAAATTAAAAAAATCATTTAATTATGTTAATTATTTAATTATTTTAAATAAGGATACAATAAATTAAAATATACTGGTTTTCCAATTAAAGAAATTTCGAAATAAATACCAATTAGAGTTATATCATTTTATAATACGTTCAATATTATAAAAATTTTTAAACGATTGTTAATATACTCGTATGTGAAATATCACGTATAAATATTCTTATTTTTATTAACAAAAAATATTTTTCCTTTTTACAAAAATAAAACGCTTTTATTTACACTTTTATTTATAATTTTTTGTGTGAATAATGTAAATTAGCAAAGAATTCAATCTTTTATACATGCTTGTAAAGTAAATGAAACGTGACTATATATATAAAAGTAATAGAATATACTATTCTATTACTTTTACAGGTTACACGATGGATTCACTGATCCAATCGAGGGTCAAGAGCCAATTCCACCAAAGTGGTACAAGTGGTTGGACGGAGTTTTATCTATCACAGTAAAGCCAAAAATAAAATACATGGGTAAATTATAACAACTATTTTATTTAAAAAACATTTGAGCAAAATTAAATATTCTATATTTATAGATATAAATATTCTTCTTATTTCTTGACAAAACTAATTAGCTCGTTAATTATTCGATATAATAATAAATAACGAATAAATAGCAAAGAGAATCTCGTAAATGTTAAAAGATAAGAAATACAGAGGATGCATATCCATATTTTCTTTAACAATGCAAATAGATAATAAAGCTTTATTTTAATTTATTATTAAGTTTGAAAAAATTTTAATTTTAAATTTAATAAAAATATGTAAAACTAAATAATGAACAAATAAAGCACAAATATATTTTAAAAAGTTCTTGCTTGAAAAGAACAGATTTTAATTTTAAGTATAAGAGGATGTTCACTTTTCTGTGTCTGTTTGTTCTTTATTAATAATATTATAAATTTAACAAGCTAATTAGTTATATGTTCTGTCAAAAAGATTACAAATTTTATTAATAAAAAAAATTATTGATAAAGAACAGCTACTGATAAGAAAACATTAATTTGTACGATGTCTGGAATGTGATATATATTTTTCTATTTATTTAATACAAAAATTTATCAATGCAGCATCAATAAATATTATATAGGAATATAATATAGAAATATTATATCTTGCCTTGCAACCATTGTATTTATTTTGTCTCATATCTTTTTAATATAATTTCCATATAGGTATAATATAAATAAATATATATGGAAATTGTATTAACTCTAATAAAATTGTCTAATAATAACATTAACGTCAGGTATGACTCTAATGCTTCGGCTGTATTCGCGCAAGGAGCATATTATACTGTTAATACTATTACATCATTTTTTGTTTTATGTTCTAGTGAGTAATAAAAATAGAATGATACAATGGTATCGATAAGCGCACAATTAAAATCGTGGAGTCATATCTGATCCCGATTAATTATTTATTCTTTTATCTTTAAATAAATGGAGGAACAAATTGTTTACTTTCTTTATCCATTTTATACGTGACTTTATCCATTTTAGATAAAAACTAGATAAAAAAATGAACAGAGCATTAGGTCAGATTTAATCTATTTTGAATACGTTCTAAAAATTACCATACATTATATTAAATTCGATATGTATTGTTAATTTTTTTAAACTAATGATAACCAGAGATATCATAATTTACAGAGATATCATATTTTACAGACATCATAATTCCAACTATAGACAGCGTACGAAGCGCAGCATTAATCGAATATCTCCTCACTAACGAGACAAATATACTTTGCGTGGGTGCAACCGGAAGCGGCAAAACTCTGACGGTGTCAGCGAAACTGTCACGTAACATGCCAAAGAAATACATTTGCGATTTTATGACGTTCTCGGCAAGTACTACGGCGCATCAAACACAGGTACAGCAAGAGAGAGAATTACGTATTTCTCGAACAGGAAATGAGATTAGTGCCTAATTTCTTGCAGGATTTAATTGACGCGAAATTAGACAAGCGACGCACAGATATCTACGGGCCGCCTATCCTGAAAAAGCAAGTTTTCTTCATCGATGACTTTAATATGTCGGCATTAGATACGTGTGGCGCTCAACCACCGATTGAATTAATTCGCCAATTCATGGATTTTAACGGTAAGGGAAATTAACAACATTATATAATAACATAACGTATTCAATTAATTGAGTTGATACATGAATCATTTAATACATAATAAATATAATGAATGAATATACATGAGGAAATAGCATAAGAATTAAATTAAAAGTGATTAGACACAGAATGATGATCAAATATATTTGCTTGTGTAATAAATTTATATAGAATTGTTATAAAATTATAATAAATATATATATATATTTTAGTTACACTTATGCTTAATTTTAATATGCAGTCTATTTTTTAAATTATATGTAGTTACAAATATATTTATAAAAATATACAGAAAATATTAAAAATTATTTAGCTTTTGATCAGAAAGAAAAATTAACAATATTTTATATATCGCAATAAATTCTTTACAATTTTTCTAATTTAATTTAGGAGAGATTATTATCATTTCAGACTGATTGTGTTGAAAGTCCGAAAGTTTTGGTGCGCTATCATATCTGAAATAAATAATATTTAATAAAAAATATATATTATTCGAAACATCTAACTTTGATCGCTAATGACGTTTTCTATTGTATTAATATTTTATTCTATATTTTATATAAATGAATATAAATTTTATATCTCGTAAATTGTATAATAGATGGATAATAAGGATCAATAAAAGAACTTTTCATTTTCATGTCGTAACATAGCTCAATATTTTTTACTTGAAAGATTTGAAATCTTATTTCCCTCTTCATTAAAATCTCTATTTAAATGGTTTCCCTTCACTGTTAGATTATATGTCAAAGATAAAATTAATTCTTAAATTATTGGAAACTCCTGATCTTGTAAAAGTTCTTGAGATAATTGAATAATTTTATTCACAAGGAAATCAATATTTTTTAAAAAATAATACGTCATAATATATGAAGTTGTCAATGACTTTTTTTAGAGTAATGATGTTTTTGTAGAGTATGCATTTCGGAAAACAGAAAAAAGTTTAACAGCTCAAGAAAAATAATATAATAATTCCTATATAGCGTTATGAAATACTTGCCTCTGGTACGTATGACGCAGTGAGAATTCAACAAATTTTAATAACCTGTTTCTACAAACGTAATACTCCCCAAGGCACTCATGCCATTAGAATTGATCTCCTACGTGGGTAGAATCCAATAATATGGACATATGCATCCCACATATGTCCATGGGGAAATATTAATATATTTTATCCACAATATGGAGCAAATTATATAATTGTGGAATTTTCCATAAAAAATTGTTAATAATATTATTATCCAATTATCTTATTATCTGATTACTGAGTAAAGTTTCAATAAATTAAGAAATTTTCAGAATCTTTATCTCTATTAATGTTTTCTTTGAAAAAGGAAACATTAATAGAGATAAAGATTCTGAAAATTTCTTAAACTACTTAATTAAACGAAAAATACCTTGCTTATCTAATACGACACAATATAAGCCCGTAATTAACAAACAAAATTTAAGTTGAGATAGATTTTCCCTAGGGTGGTATGACAAAAAGAAGATCGGATCCTTCAGGCTGATCGAGGACGTGAATTTCGTCGCAGCTATGGGACCTCCCGGAGGTGGAAGAAACCCAATAACTGCTAGACTTTTACGGCATTTCCATATTATTGCATTTCCAGAGATGCAGGACGATGCGAAAGTGAGTTTGCATAGTATGTGTAAAACTACACGTTAAATATGTTAACTCTAATTGCTTACATTTATCGACAGTCATGTAAAAAAGATCGGTTATGTTATTTTTATTATTTAGAAATAAAAATGTGACATTTTGCTGAAATCATACTTTTAGAGTAAGAAACGAGATTGCTTGATTGGATGAAATTTTTACGCGAATTTTCAAATATTGTATAAGATTTCAAATAAAAAATGAAAGACTTCTATATCACATAATTTCGTGATTTTACATTCGTGTTGAGTATAAAAATTATAAATCTGCGCATAAAAACGTAAAAAAATATATAGAAATAATATTAGGTGTTGGAATTAAAACGCTACGAATTAATTCCAACACCTAATATATTTATAAGAAATCATAAAAAAAGAGGGAAAGAAAAAGAAAAATCTCTAAATTCAAAACATTGACTTAAAATTTATTAAATATGTATATATAATAAAATTTAAGATTTAATTATTTTATAACAATTGTATGTTAAAAAATACTGTAACAACTGATATTCTTATTGAAGGAATATTTCATTCAAGAATGAAAGAGAAACTCTCTCTCGTAACTGAAAATTATATTATTAATATAGCAAAGCTGTCAACGATATTTTATACGCGGAAAAAGTATAAAAACGACATGATAATTAGAAGAAAATTTTATTACATAATATTTAACAGAATCCAATTTAATGAGTCCAGTTATTATGTCATTTGTATATAAGGAGCTCGATATAAGAAAATTTCCGATGACGTATCTTGTTACGCCCGGAACTGCACATACTTGACGCGTATGTTTCCTTCCACTACGTCGTCAGGTTTTCTTCCATCAAATTGACATCCACACCCAGTCGCGTATAATCGCGACTCGTAGAAAAGACGGAACTCTGTGGCACCATAGTTCATACTGTTTACCCTATTCCTTCATGTTCTTCGCAATTAGATGTCGTAAATCGAGACCATACCAACCATAATTTATCATAATCACCTGCCCGGTTAATATAATAGGGTCCATAATGAACCCCGTCGACTCAGCACACCTGCGAGACCTTCTGTGCACGTTTCGACCAAGGTCGACGAGGCGGGTCTGAGTTTAAGTATCACTGATTAAATATTCATGCCAAACACGTTTATACCTCTTGCAGATGATTTTCTCGGTTCTTATACATTTCAATGTCATCTAATGTTAATTAATTAAATATTAAATTAAGAATAACGATAATAATTATTATCAACGTTACACGCAATAAATTTAAACGACGTATAAATTTTTAATAAAATTTGAGGAGTAACCATTTTTTAATATAAGCATGTGATTGGCACGTTGATTGCGTTATAGGCTCCTCATTCCAGATTTTTTTCTATAAACTCTGAATTAAAATTTAATATTAAAATTAATCTTTTATTAGAAAATCTCTTCTCAACTATCTTTTTAATTTTCACAATCAATCTGAATATCTTTATATCCCTTTATTTACTTAATTAAATTGTATTAAAGTAAATTTAAACTAAGAATTGCGTTATAATTTAAAAAAAGAATATATATAAACGCTAAAAACCAATTTTAATTATTCAAAGAATACATGCAAAAAAGGAAGATTATTCTTTAAAAACTAAATATTATATTTATAAGCTTATAATATATATTTTATAAGCTAAATATTAGCTTATAAAAGCTAAATATTAAATCTGTGTATGTACGTATCTTCATAATAATATATTTAACATATAGTACAAACTTATGGATTTAACTAATCATATATTTAATTTACAGTCGCATATCTTTAAAACAATTCTTGACTCATGGATGTCAAGCATACCAGAATTTTATGATCTACTGGACGACATAGTGGACTCCACTTTAAAAGTTTTCGCAGTTACACACAGCGAAATGTTGCCAACTCCCAATAAATTACACTACACTTTTAATCTTCGCGATGTGAGCAAAGTGTTCCAAGGCATTCTTATGGCAAACGCAAAAAAAATTTTAGTTAGTATATTTTTTTATTGTGAATGGAAATTACATAAAAATAAATCAAATAATAAAATAAATCTTATTTTCATTCAAAGCGAATCTGAGACTGTTTAATATTTATATGCAAATTTGCAAATACATTTTTCCGTTCTGTAAACTACAATATGTTGTTTGTCGGACTTAAAATGCAATCATAAACTGAAGCTGGAAATAATATTACAAATTACAATTTTTTGCAGTGTGTGTTGTATATATATTTAACATTAATAAAAAAATAGACAATTAATGTAATTAATGATCATGTTATTTCTAATAATTTCAATTTATGATTACGTTTCTAATCCAACAAATTGGCGCATATTTTACAGAAAAGAAAAATGTAATTGCAAAGGATATTAAAGCACCAAAATTTTTTGTTTCAATAGAAAATAGAATTTTATATATTATGTAATTTTTTTAATATATCTAAGTTAAAAATTAATTACATTTTATTTAAAAATAAAAAAGTAATCTGATAATGCACTTGTCGATAATAATGGATTTTTGTATATTATCGAAAGAACTATATAACAGAATATATGCTCAAGTGGTTAAAGTACGTGTATAATCAGACAAATCTTTGGCTCTAACTCAGGCATTGCGGTTTTGGCATTGAATGAGCATTGTATTCAACATATACCGTTATTATCTAATTGACGTAAAAAATGGTAAATTTGTTTGATAATAAGTGAAAAAAATAACCATTGCTCAAGTAGTACATGACAAAGCAGGTCACTCTACATATAAATCGATAAACGTTGCTTGCTCTCTCTTGAAAAGAGAGATTATTTTAATCGGATTTATATGGTGTTTTATTCATATACTGTTAGCGTAAAATTAAATGCTTTGCATGTATTTTATTGTCAAAAATACGTGTTACTATGAAATTATATCTAGTGAAAATCGACATTTGTCTTTCGCATTCTTATGCAATTCATTAATTTCTATAGAAATTGCTTTATATATATTAAAAAATGTTTATGTCACATTTGATTAATATTTTTTACATCATACAGGTTCGCGAAAAGTTATTATTACTTTGGTATCATGAAAATATTCGAGTCTTCAGCGATCGCTTTATAAATGACGATGATAAAAAATGGTTTGACCAGCTCTTATGCGATGTATTGATGAAAAAATTCCATTGTAACGTGGACGATATTATTGGAAAGAAACCATTATTTTATAGCGATTTTTGTAATACAGTAGGAGACTATGAAGAGATAACAGACATCGAAGAAGTAATTTATTTTTATTTAAATTAACGCATAACTTAACATCTAGTATTTAACATAACATAATAATTTGTAAGTAATATCTTTAGTGATCACTAACAGTTAACAATTTGCAACAATACTTAATAATAAATAAATCTAAGACAATAAATAATAATAAACAATTAATGTAAAGTAATGTTTGATAATTGATATTTTTAAATTTGTATGTGCAATTGTTGCCGTTGGACATTATAATACTTATTATTAATTTAAAATGCAAATTTAATTTAAAATTTAAATTTTTTGCATATCTTACAACACTTCTTTTATAAATATAATTGTAACATTAAGTATAATTGTAAAAATTTTGCTTTACATATATTAATTCTTTTTATGTTTTATAGATAAGAAATATTCTACTTGATTATTTAGACAGTTATAATGATTTATCGACATCACCGATGCAATTAACATTTTTTGAAGATGCAATAAATCATATTTGTAGAATCACACGAATACTTCGACAACCTGGAGGAAATGCCTTACTGCTTGGAATAAGTGGATCGGGTACGCTGTAATTATTTAAGATTAAAATATTAAAATGTTTTATAATTAATAATATCTTTACATTCTATGTATACGTATATATTTATTCTTATATGCGTCTTCATCCCTCCATTTAAGAATTTATATTGTATCCGCTGGAAATACGGAACAGAATAAATTTTTGTTCTTATTAGGACGTCGAAGCTTGACAAAGCTTTCATCGCATATCAAGGAATACAATTGTTACCAGATTGGAATCAGTAAAGCTTATACAATTCACGACTGGCGAGACGACATCAAAAACATAATGCTAAAAGCAGGATTACAAGATCAACCTATTGTCTTTTTGTTTTCTGACATGCATGTAAAATGCAGACCAGAAAATGTGGAGTTAAATGAAAAAGTATAACTTTCTAAATGTTCTTGTCATTTATTTTAATTTGTATATTTTATGAACAAATGCTACTGCATTTGTTAAAAGGATATATTTGATATTAAAGTGCATCTCAAAGAAATATTTTACAATCTTAATGAAAAATTTCTTAAAGAAAAAAAAGACGATAATTTACTTGCAGTAATCACTATTTATAGATAACTGCGTTTCCTCGACTGAAATACGAAACTCCGTTTTCATATTTAAACTGTATCTCAGAGGTATTCCACGAAATTATACGTTCTTGTAGATAACGAATGACTCGATGCTGGAGGATTTAAACAACATCTTAAATAATGGAGATATACCAAACATATATCAAACTGATGAAATGGACAAAATATATCAAGCAATGCGAATACCAGCACAAGAGGCTGGATTACAAATCAATAGAAGTAACCTTTTCTCCATTTATCAGAAAGCAGTCAAAAGCAATTTCCACACTGTCATTACGATGAGGTATTTTTACTGAAAAATGTCTGTTATAAATTTCATTAATGGCTGATTTTAATATATTTATTCAAGTTACGTTACAAATTAATATAATTATATTTATATATTATATATAGAATTATATATAGAATTATGTGTTTATAGATGATTATATCAATTTGTAACATAACTTAAATAAAATCATTATAATCGTGATTTAATCGCAAAGTATTTCTGAATACAAGTATTTCTGGAAAATTAATGAGATTTATGCGATGTTAGGAAGTTTTTGCAGAAGCAGGAATACATGACTTTTACCAATAGCTCTAATAAAATACTAGACACGCAATACTCGATTTACGCAGAAATATTGTTTGTCACGATGATAAACCCATGATAAAGATTCACTGGGGAGATTTATACGTTTATGTCGAAGAGACACGATTTTGATATATCGAATATCACAGAGCTTTTAGTATCCGTGAAATCATTAATTTCATTTTGCGTCACATATGTCATGAAGTTAAGCCATGTAAAAGTAATCTCATCAGATAAAATATGATAAATATAGCACAAATGATATTGGCATAAGTTTCCATTAAAATCTATTAAATGTTATTTGTTAAAGAATCAATATACGTATTCGGTACAATTTTGCATTACAATCCATGCATTTGGTCTGCGTAAGTATCCTATAAATATTTTAAATTCTATGAAAATAAAAAGTAATGGAACTTTGAGACCAATGAATTCAAATTCTACAAACTAAATATCGTAAATATGACTTGAGACAGTAAAAGTAACTTGGAACAGCATGTATAATAAGGAAGTTTAAAAATTAACTTCCTTTAGAGACTCATTGATGGATTCCATGATTGAATTTAACAAAAATACATGCTATCCCAAGTTACCTGCACTGTCCCAAGTCATCTACATTTGCGGTATCCTATACAATCTTTAATCACTTAAATTATCAAAAGTTATGCAAACAGAACATTTTTCAAAAGTGAATAAAAAGAATTAAAATTCATTTAATAATTCATTCGATAAATTAAAAATAGTTTAGAAGCTATTTTTATAAAACAATGTAAAAATATCATATTTCTATTATTTTTAATATATTGAATTATAAATTATAAATATTAAAAATAGTAATTCTTAATATGATTATATGCAACAAGTTTATATTGTTTAATTCAAAAGAGACATAATCTCTTGAGAATATAATATATCAAGGATTATCGAAGGGATTACTCTGACAACAATGGAAAAGTAATTATAAAGTCGTTCAATATTGGTAGATAGATAAAATATGGAAATGACAGAAAGGCCAATGAGAAAATATAGATTATTGATCGACAAATTAATTTCTTTGCATAGACAGTACTCCATTTGATATTAGTCATTTTTTCATAGAATATGCAAGTCGTTCACGATTGAGAGATTGATTAATATTGAAATTGTCAATTTCGTAAATATTTTGTCATAAATCTATAATATTACATTCAATGTGTCTCTTTTTTCTATAATCTTTCTATCAATAATTCCATCAAGATTATTTTTTTCTTAAACTATATTTTTATGTTTTTTGTTAATATTTATATTTTAAAGGAAATTTTATAAAAGATGATATTATTTATCAATCTTTTAATTCTTAAATAAAATTTTGACTTTTTTATCTCTCTCTCTTACTTTACTTAATAAGTTTATATATAATAATATCGTATATAATATGTTATATGAAACATATTATTATTATTATATATTTATATATGAAACTATAATAATTAAACAGTATATCTGTATATAAGAAGATTTTCTGAACTATAAGCATCTATAGAATATAGTCTTAAAGGATTTAACAAATTTTCTGCAACAAATTGTTTAAGGAGATTTGCTAAAACACTGTCTAATATGTATAATAAGCTATACATCGAAAATAAATTAATTGAATTAAGTTCAAAGCATATTAATTAAATTGTTTATTATGAGAATATTGTAGAATGTTTGTGAAACATTAAACTTATAAATTTTTACTTATTTATTTTTAGAATATAATTTACTTTTTCATGTTGCTATTTGATTCTAAAATTTAATTACAAAACATCCATGATTTAATCTGTATAAAATAAAAGAAATTTAATCTACACATAGCTCACCATAAATTTCTAATTAGCTTAATACATTTTCAATATTCCAGCCCAATTGAAGATACATTTCGCGCTCGCATCAGACAATTCCCGGCACTAGTAAATTGCTGTACTATTGATTGGTTTTGCTCCTGGCCGGATGCCGCACTTCAGGTTTGTACAATACAATAAAGTGTGACATAACTAAAAATATATATGTCTCCATAATTTTTTTATTATAAGTCTTTAAACAAAAATCAATATTGTGTCTGCTTTAAATATGTCGATTACATGTAGATTCTTTTTAAATGTTTTATATACATATATATATATATATATTTTTTTTTTAAGAATTATATATATATATTAAGAATTATATATATAATATATACATATTTTTTTAAGAATTATATTGAAATATATATATATATATGTGTGTGTGTATATATATTCCAATATAATTCTTAAATTTATAATTAACACATGTCGACATTTAAAAGTTTTTAAAAAGTTTTAATATGATAATATAAGAGATATACTGAGTTGGCTTTTTTTTAAATTTTCTGGTTCAGTAAATGTATATTACAATATATTTGTGATGGAAAAGTGCTGTGTACGACTGTGTTATTTATTTAACTTACGCTCTTGTATTATGCCAAACGAGCATTTTACAAGTAAAACAACAAATATACAAAACAATAAAATGTAAAAATGTAAAACATCGTAAATGTATGTGATATTCAGAATTTTCATTCCAACACAAAGTTTCCACGAAATATTAGAAAAAAATTAACAGTTTGGTAAAGAATATCTTAAAACTACTATTTTATATAATCATATTTAATTAGAACTTACTAACAAACTATTTTAATTAAAAATAATAAGTGACGAACAATATGCTGACTCGACATAAATCATATTGCAATTTTATAAGCAATTTTAACTTAATCTAATGATTGTTATCATAATGCTCATAGATATTTGATGGACTTAATTAGTAATATTAGATTTTTGTAAATTGATATTTTTAAAAGTTTTAATGAACAACAAATAATTAAATAATAATGTAAGGTATACCTATTTAAATATGAAAACTTGAAGATTTTGTTCATTGTCATTTTAATGTCTTTAAAATATTTTTACATATGTAATTATTAATAAAATATCTATATTAATTATGTAAACAAATAATTAATTAATTAATTAATTAAGTTTGTAAACTGTAACAATAATACTTATTTTTAAAGTTATTTATGAATCTCAAAATTAAAAAAATATATTGTTACTTCAAGTTTAAGTAAAATAATTAATAATTAATCATTACAATTATTTTTTAAAGAATTATATGGAAAAAATTTATTGACGTATTTAGATATTCTATGTTTGACATTAAATGTAAATAATAATAATAAATAAATTTCAAGGCTAATGAGAGTAAGTATAATAATGAGAGTATTGTGCGCAGAAGGAGTTGCGCACAATTATTGATAAGTAAAAATTACTTCTTCATAACGTTGATATCTTCTTTATTTGAAAATCTTGAACTTTCGACTCGCTTTATAATCATCCTCAGCAATAACAATTTGATACCGTTCAACTCGGTCAAAAACGTTAAGCGATCTTAAATGAGTCACTCTCAGATTTCCAAAACTGTAATGGATTCTCGAACGGAGCACAACATAATTCAACATAATTCAGAAGCTTTGGAAAAATGTTTGGATTTCCTTATGCGATAATTCACTTTAATTTACTAATGACACGTGTCACGGATATTTATAACGAAGACATTTCAATACGTCCGTGAGATTTCGCATGTCAAATATAAAATCTTATTATTTGGCATCAAAATGTTCAAGATTTTGAAATAAAGAAGACATGAACATTATGAAGAAGTAATTTTTACTTATGAATAACTCTTTCCGCGCTGATTCTTATTAGCCTTGAAATTTATTTACTATTATTATTTTAAATATTAAGAGTCCGATTTATTTATTATATTATTAAATGTAAATTTAAAAATTTATTTTTTGTGTACAAGTTGCACATATTGTTACATTGGATTAGAAGATAAAAAAGTGCTTTTAATAATAAATGTAATAAAATTGGTTCTTAGCATGCAACGTTTAAGCTATGTTTTGTTATTCACTGCAAGTACTAAAAATTTATAGTTCACAATATATTACATATGCCATAGATTTTTGCAGTGAATAACGAAACGTAGTCTTAGTAATTTCGCGACATTATGAATTTAGAACTCCACTTCCCATCTACTCCGGAAATCTCTTTCAGTAAATTAATTTCCAAATGTGAGCACAAATGTAATCCGCATTTAATCCATTTTGCGTTCATGGGCTAAAATATTTCGAGCGCCATTTCAAAACGTGATATCATCTGAGTAAATTTTTTTAGGAGTTATACTATTAGATTATAATTTAAAAATTAATTTTTGCGATATCTTTAAAAAATCATTTATTTATGTGAAATACAAAAATAGCATAAACCATAATAAAATTACTACATTGATAAAGTAATAAGTATATCTTCCATAATAAGAATAGAAAGCAATTTTAATTTTTCTTATACACTCTATAAATCTTGTTTATATCTAATGACTTTAAATTATCTATAAACAATACTATTTCAATGTTCAATTAAAATTAAATTTTTTCTAAAATTTGCTGCTTTGAACTGTAACTCATTCAATACATGCTTTAATACACAAGTTTAACATAAATTTACGTATCTCCCAATGTAGTAATTTTTCAAGATCAATAGCAAATTATTACAGTTATACGAAACGTAATGAGCAAATTCAATCTTATTGAAAAGTACAATATATTTTTGTTTAGAGCATAGCAACACATTTTCTGTCGGATATCAAAAACAAGTTGATCTCGGATGATATTTTGCAGTCTATCGTAAAAATATGCAAGTATATACACTGCAGTGTGATCGACGCTAATGATCGCTTCTTAAAAGTAAGTACTCAGTAATAATATTTTGCTAGCGTACGAATTACAATTGTTGTAACAAATAATTCATCTTAGGAACTGGACCGTCGTAATTATGTTACCCCAGCATCATATTTGGAACTGCTATCGAATTATGGTAATCTTTTAAAAAAGAAAAAAGATGAATTAAATTCTTCAATGATACGTTTATCCACTGGTGAGTAAGGATAAAATTAATTAATTAATGTAAAATAAATTAATATAAAATATATTTATTTATTATATTAATAAATGTGAAATGCATACTTAGATAATATATATTTTAAAATATTTTCTAATATTTATAAGTTAGATTAAAGAAAATATTATATAATATAAAGTAGGGTTAAAAAAAAGATTTAGAAAATATTAAATTACCTTTATTATAAATTCTTACACGATAAGACTCTAATTAAAATTATCAAGTTAACTTGTTAAAGTAAAAATCTTTATTTTATTTAATATATTTCTTATTTTATCATCTTAATATAACATCTGTGAATGTTATTCACGTGTTAAAAAGCAGGAAATGAAATGTCTCAATTCTTAATATTCTTACGATATACATTTATTAACATTTTCAATGTACAGTGATTCTGAAAGTGTAATACATCCAAAAACTATTCTATCTTAATCTATGTTAAATATATTCTTTATAGTAATTCGATTTGTCTTAATATAAATATAAATATTAATATTTATATTTAATATTTGTATTTATTGTGGAAGATAGATACAATTATTATTTATATATTATATTTTATATATCATATATTTAGCCATCAGTTAATTAAACATTTCATTTACAATGTTATTATAAAAATATATATAAGCATATTAAGTTGCTAAGAACAGAGAAAATTGCGTCCCTTTGAAGACTTTGTATTGATTAGCAGCCCGACGAAATGAGAACGCATCTATTTAAATTATACGAGCCCATGATGAAAATTTACTGCTTCCAATTCATTTACAATAATGCAAATTAATTACTTCATCTGATTTACATAAATCAGCATACAATTTGGTCTTTGTAACGCGTATCTTTCTTGAACAGGACTAAATAAATTTGCGAACACAGAAACAGAAGTGAAAGACATACAAGAGGTACTGAAACAAATGAAGCTTGAGTTAGAGAAAGCGGCAGAAGCTACAGCAAGAATTATACATGAGATTACACAAGACACAGTAAGCATTTCAAAGTTTGTCAAAGTTCTAAATCCTCATCACACAAAAACTTCTTCATTTCATGTCTTACACAAAAGATATAACTTTTACGAAATTAGTAAAGAGTTTCGCAACAGAAATTATTTATTTTAGTATGCTTTATCGGCTAAATTGTAGAAGGAATTTTTTCAATGTACATTTATATTTTATAATCTTTTTGATTATCTTATAAATCTCTTCACAAAAAATTTTATAGGAGATTTATGATAATGATATTATTACTTTGTAACAAGGTTATAATAAGATTATTATTATTCAAAGCCTTTGTGAGGATTATTTCTTCAGAATTTTATTATAATTTAATTAATTCAAAGAGTTTTAAATAAAATTTTGTAATGTTTTAATAAAATTAAAAGAATGAGAGGTTTTTTGTAAGATTCATATCCCAAGGTAATACATGTCTAATACAAAGTATTATGAGATACGCAATTTAGAAGTGAGAATAATTAAATAAAAATATTTCGACTCTCTTTTAACCATGAAAAAAATATCGTTATATAAACAATTATTTTTTAAAATAAAACATACAGAATAATTCTTTATTAAAATTTATATGAATATATAACATATATGAATTATATAATCCAATCTATTTCATGAAAGAAAGAAAAAAAGAGAAAGATACAGTAATTTTAAACTCACAGTTATCAAATCAAATAGTAATATTTTGTAATAATAAATATGTAACAAAAGATAAATTATTTTAAGTAAAAAATTTGTGCCCTTATAATTTCCATATAAAGTATAATTATCACGATCTTTCACATTTTTATAATAACTTATAATAAATTAGCATTATTTATAAGGAAAAAGGTGATAATAAATAAATGTACTACCAGATCGTATGTATTCCTAACTTGAAAAAGCGAAGTAATATATAACACAAACCTTTCACAAATTTATTTGCATATTTTAATTTGTGATACATATTTACATTATACATATATATATATTTATATTATATATATAATATATATATATATATATATTATATACAATTACTTTACCTCACAATTTCATTCTAATGAATAATTGAAAGAAATGACTATGATTTTCATATGATCACAAAAAAATTGATCTTTTTCCGAAAATTAATGTTACTATTTTGTATCTTGTCAGGCCGTACAACTTTTGTATGAACTTATTTTTTTATTTAATTTTATTCTACAAATATAAAAGAGACAATCTTCTTATAAGGGGAAGTTCTTTTATATGTATAGATAAGACTGACATCCTGTATATTAAATTGTTTCTCTGTATATCAATCTGAATTAGAAGTTTTCATTTCTTATTATTCAAAATGTGGATCTGAAATTTTTGTAATAAATTAATAATTTTAAAGATATATATATTTATAGGAAACACTATTTAATTAATTATTACTTCTATGTATAACTCCTCTATTCTGTTAATATTATTTAATGATTGACGATTGCGCACTAAGAATCTTTTATTAGCTTGTAAAGTATTTGATACTCATACCTTGTTTTTCACAAAATACATTTTATACAATTAACATACAATATGCTTCTTGCAGATTGAAGCAGAAAAGACTAAAATAATGGTTATGCAACAAGAAGCAGCGATATCAAAAATGAAGGAAGAGAATAAAGAAATCAAAGATGAAGTGGAAGCAGATTTAAGTATGTTTGATGCTTACAAAGCATAGTTATCCTTACAAAAGCCCAAAGAACAGTATTTTTAAAATAATATTATTTAAAGCTTTAAAAACAGACGTGCATGTACGTACATATATGTATTGAAAATAACATTCTTGTGGCTGAATATCGTGCCAAGAAAGTATCGTGTGTTATTTACTTTGAAAGTTCCGCTTTCGGAAAAATATATTGCCTCATACAGAGTTCAAACGTCAAAATTTTTCAACAGAGAATTTTACGACTAAAACAACATTTATAAAATTCGTGAAAATGTAAAAATGTACACAAATTCGCTCGTGTACATTGTGTAATCAATTTGCACATAGTTCGCTTTATATATTAACAAACTGAGATAAAAATTTTATAAAAATTTGGATATACGTACATTGAATTATATATTGATTTACACAATTTTATATTGATTTATATAACCAAAAGTTTGTTTAATTTTATAAATCAAAATTGAAAACGTTAATAAAGCAGTGTGAATTAATACCGAAACTATTACTAATTAAATTTAATATATTTTGTATATTCTATACGTTACTGCACATAAAGTATAAATATATGTTTTTAAAAATCGTCCAACTTTTTTCAATTATTTAAAAAATATATAACGTTTAAAAAATATTATATGTTCTTAAACTATTATATATATACACACACATATATATGTACTCTTTTTCCTGTAAAAAATATATTGCATAATAAATAACATCTCGCTCATAAAAGAATGTACGAAAAATATTTGACGCAAAATGCTCTACCGTATTTCTCAATGCACACATAATATTTAAGAGAAAATTTTGAACGAAACTCTATTATACGTGAAACTTAACTGTGCTTGTTTGTCTATAAATTACATATACGTATATACAGGTGAAGTAAAGCCAATGCTTGAAGCTGCTGAAACCAGTTTAAAGGCACTAAATAAGAGGGACATTATGGACGTAAAGACAATGAAAAAACCGCCAGTGGGAGTACTCTTAGTGATCGAAGCAATGTGTATTATAAATAACGTGACACCAAACAAGGTTTACTCAGAGATATACAATTTTGCAAATATTTTATGTAATAATTATTAACTATTAAGCAGTATTCAAAATATCAAAGTAATATTTTTTAGTTTGTAATATTTATGTAATTATATAATCGTACAATTATATAGTCGTAATCCAATAATCATTGGTTTTCAATTATTTTTACAATTTATTTATTCATATTTTATATAACAATATATTATTTTAATGATTTTGTACTTTTTTAACATTGTTTTAATAAAATATTTCAACTCTGGACATAATTCTAATAAACCTTTTGTGAAGAATTTGTAAAGTACAATTTTTAAGTTAGTGTAATTTTTTAATATAATAAATAAATTTTAAAAAGTGAATGATCATTCTTAGCTTCCTGGGAAACTTCCCGGTGAAATAATATTGGATTATTGGACTCCTGGAATTGAAATGCTAGCAGATCCAGTTCAATTTTTATATACAATAGCACATTTCGAAAAGGAAAATATCACGGAGGAAATTATTAATAAATTAGAAGATTATGTAGAACATCCCAATTTTCAACCAAATAAAGTAAACATTTAGTTATATAGTAGTAAATATATATATATATATATATATATATATATATATATATATACACAGACACAGAGTGCGTCATCCAAAATCCAGACAAATTTCAATTAAAAATTTCCACTAAATTATGCTGCCAGAGGTTGTTGTTAGCGTCCGAGAAAGCCTAAGACGTTCCACATAAAGGAACAGGGAACAGAGAACAAAAAATAAATATTTCACCCTATCAGAAATCATGTATTGTGAAATACACAATTTCTGATAGATTGAAATTCTTATTCTCTGTTCCCTGTTCCTTTTATTGTGCGGAATCCTTAATGCTTCTAGTAAACAGTCATAGTTTCAAGCGATGTTAAAATTAAGTAATCGAAGAGCCGCGATCATCGAAGATCTTCGCGCTGAGCGCTCAGCAACGGAAATAATTCGGTTCTTTGGATACCCGAGATCAACCATTTATGGCGTTGTGACAAAATATACGGCTTTAGAACCAACGAAGGCTCCAGTATGCCAGCAAAGAAGAGTTACTCGAAAGAATGCATCGCGAGGACTCCCGCATCGTTGAAAGGGCTGATTTTGGATGACCTACGGCAATCGTTGTGCATTCTGATGGATGTAGCCGTAGATGGAAACTGTGACTCTGGAAGCTATATGTTTTTTACTCATACGAGTCATTTGATTCAAAATTGGCTCTCAGTCAACGTCGATACGTTTTGGTCCAAGGAATTCTGGCCTCCCAACAACCCAGATTTAAATCCCTTAGACTACTACGTATGGAGAGTAGTTGAAAGGGTCAAACAAGTCTCGACATCCCAATGTGACATCATTAAGGACTGCTATTAAGGCAGTATTCGTCGGCATAGACAGCGCTATATTACAGCGTGCATACGAACGCTTCAGACCGAGAATAGAGACCGCCATTTAAGCTAATAGGGGATATATCAATTGTGCTCTACAGGAATCTCCCAAGTGCTATGTAAAAGGATTTTTTGTAATATTTAATTTTTCATTAAAAACATTTTAAATAATATTACTTTAAATCCGAAGCACCACTACGGTCTAAGTATTAAGATGTTGAACTAATATATATATTTTTCAAACGAATGAATTAATTTCAGAAATAATGATAATTACGTGTCGATATGGTTGTCGACATTAACGCAATTGATCTGAAATGTTAATAATCCCCCCAAAATTCCCCAAATTAATCTTAAAAAACTGTAATAAACTTATTGCGAAAAAATATTGCCTCGGCCGGGAGTCGAACTCGGATCTCTTGCATTCCGTGCGAGAAAAACATTTTATTTAAAGAAAATTGTTAGATTTGTCCGGATTCTGGTGACGCACCTTATATTTGTGTATAGTATTTTTAAAGATTTTTAAATATTGCAGTATAAATATTGCAGTTACAAATTAATGTAAATTAATGTAATATAACTTGTAAATATATATTTTTTGTATTGGGATAACAATAATAATGTAATTATTAAATCATATATTTGAAAGATACTTCAAATTTCGAGGGCTTGCCATTTCTTAAGTTTGTGGATCCGTGCTATGTACTACTATTATTTCGTAAATAAGAAAGTCGCACCCAAAATGGCAGTCTTGGAAAAAGCAGAAAAAGTTCTCATTGAAACCGAAACAGTACTGGCAGATACCATAACGAGACTTCGAGAGGTTCAGGAAGGGATTGAAAAATTACAAGATCAATTGAGAGAAAAGGAAGCAAAGAAAATTGAACTAGAAAGAGAGAAACAGCTTTGCGAGGAACGAATAGCACGAGCTGCAAGACTAATTCTAAGTCTGTCGGATGAACAAAAACGATGGATTATTATGGTAGATAATATAAAAATGTCTTTAAAGAATGCTGTCGGTGATATTCTTCTATCATCAGGTATGCAAAATTTAAGGATTGCTTCACTCGAATTATTTACATTTATTTGCATATAAAAATCAAGAATGCCACTCTGTCAGTTTTTAAGATAATTTTTTGCATAAAGTGGTTATTATATAAAATGATTTACAAATTTATAATTTGTACACAACTAGCAAAAACCTTTTAATAGTTTCGATACATACTGCACAATGATAAACAACCTTTAATTTTTAATATTTAATCTAATAACAGACTATTTTAATCCAAAATTACATTTTAATTATGCAAAACAGTAAACAAACAAATATTACAAATAATTAAAGCAGTCTGGTAATAATATACATTAATAAGATAACGCTAAATTGAAAATAAATAATAAATTTCTGTCAAAGAAATGAAAAACATAAAATCATATCGTCGAAATATATCATTACTGATAATTGCTTCTTTTTGAGGGATATATAAAAAATTTACATACAATAATTTCCAAACCAGTACGTTGAGCGTCGACTTCTAAAATTCTACAATTCACGTACTTTAATAGAACTGCAATTTTTTATTATATAAAAAAGTTGTAGACAATTTTGATAAATTCAATTTCGTATCTGAAGCAGCTTTCTCTTACAGAGAATATTGACTATAATCTGATTCTGCTAGCGATGTTCACGGCCTATTAGCGCAATGTCTTTGACAATCTTAAAATAAAATTATTTTTTTAAAGTTAAAATATACTTTAGTGATAAGTT